CCGCCTGCAGGGCTTTGATGGCGACTGCGTCGTGGATGATGACGTGCTCGACGTTGCCGCCTTTTCTTTTGGCTGTTTTGGTTTCGTACAGCATAATTAGAACCTTGCGGCCATCTGGGCTGAAGTGAAGTTGTCCTGCTTTGAGTCCCACTATTTCGGCTGTTCGCAACAAGCCAAGGAATCCTGCAAGGAGGAGCGCGGCAAGGTCGAGTCGGCCATACGACATGGCTGCGCCAACCATTGCTCCCAGGATGGCCCGGGGGAGCGGGAAAGCTCGCTTACGGTGTAGGACCGACCCCCAATTGTGCAGATATTGCCGCGCTGTTGGTATGGCCGCGCGGGCCCCCGGGTAGAAGCGTGACAGCCCGCATATGGTGTCGCTGGCGTATCCGTGCGAATCACCTTCCTGCCACATGTGGTTTATGTACTCAGCGAGAGTAGAATCCAATTCAAACAACGATTGCGGAATGCGTATATTGTATGTCCGAAGGTAATAGAAAAATGATATCAGTGCTTTCGTGTATCGCTCTCTTGTCTTTGCTGTGATGCCTACTTCCCTCAGGTGTCGTTTTACCCCTGGTCGGGGCTTCTGGCGGCTAGCCTTCCCCATCGCCTGCGTGAAGGCGGCTCGCGGCGTCCGCGAACTGCCATTCTGATATGGTCCAGACACCGAAGGAGTAGGCATCCATTGCGAGTTCCAACGCCATGAGTTTCCGCCGCGGTCTGTTGAGGCGCCGGCTGGAACTGCGGCCTTTTGCGACTACAGCCGCGGCCACTTGGCTGTCAAAGACGTTGATGAATCGCAACGAGTGGTAACAACGAGAGCGAGACTTCTTTCGGACATAGTTTAAATACGCAATTAATTCCAACACGTTGATATGTTGTTTCGCTTTCCACCGGTACGACATGACAACGTGCCATTTCCAGGCGAATGCCGGGTAGGGCACAGTTTGCCGCAAATCGGCAACTTCGCTGGTGGACATCCACACATGAGCGCCTTTAGTGTCCGCCCACGAAAGCATGGACCGGAGGTGGGCTTGCTCCCCTCCAGGGACCATGCGTTGCAGGAGTCGCCCGATCTCCTGGGCCGCTGGCGCTAAAGCGCCCTGGGTGCCTCCCCGGCGGGCGCGCGCCAGCTGGGTTTCGACCCACGCTGGCTGGTCCGAGGGCGCTGCTGGCACGCCTTGTTGCCCGAGCTCGCGCAGTGCTCGGGCAACGGCGCGGGAGTATGCTGCACAGAACTGTTCCTGCGTGCACGCAGAGGCGCCTCGCTGGGCGACCGTCTCCTCTGCCGAGAACGTTTGTTCAAGCAGGCGGCAGTTGTGTAGCAAACACAGATCCGCGTCGCCCGCGGCGGGCGCGACGCCCGTCACGGTGACCCTGGTGCACAATACACCCTTGTAGCGGAGGAGGGACTGCACCCCTTCGCTCTGCCACAGCGGGCTATCCCAAGGGTGTTGCACGACAGCGAAGCCCCAGTGCAGCACACGCCACAATAGCCTTTGGACTGCCAGCTGTCCGTGTGCGTCGGCGTCCACCACACTTCGGCCGCCCAGCCCTGCCGCGTGCCGGTGGCGCGGGCCGGCGGCGTGTGCCAGGCGGCGCGCGCCCGCGTACGAGCCCCCAGGCACTGTCCAGTGCTCCCACGCCGTGAACTCATCATCGGCCTCCAGGCGCACATGCTTTTGGCCGGACTCTGACAGCACTTGGGAGCCTGGCGGGCGGGATGGGTCAAGGGGAAGGCACACTTCGACCCCTGCGCGAGCAACGGCCCAAGACAGGCGGGCCTCTGGGCCTGACCCACTTTCAAAAAAGCCGGGCAAACGCACGCCTGCGAGCGAACATCCTTGACGCCGATGCTGCAGCAGGCAGTCCACGCAGCACGTCACGGCACCGCACTGGGCGGGGCAGACGGCCCCGCCTGCCCCGCGCGCGTCGGGGCGGACCTGGACCGCACACGCTGCGCACGTCTGCGGCCGCGCCGGGGCGAAGGCCGAGTCCTCAGCCAGTTTGGCAAAATGTGCCTCCAGGCGCGCTCCCCGTTGTGGGTCCACAGCGTGTGTGAATTGAGCTGCTTCCGCGGCCCCGCCGCCGTCCTCGGAGGCGTCTGTGCACGAAATGGTGCGCTTAACAGGCGCCCGGAGATTCGTGTACGCGAGAGGGAGCAGACAAGCGAAGGCGATCATTTCGTCTATTACCGCTGCGTCTGCTGGCGCAGGCGCGTCCAGGGCGGTCTGGATAGCGGGGAAGATTTGCTCGAGGACAGCGAAGAGGGGCCGGCGGAAGCCAGCGGCGAAACATGCCTGACCCGCCCAATGCTGGAGGGCGCCGGCCTGCCATTGCTGCTCCGTTGCCAGCACCGCGGTTTTGACCACCAGGGCGTTGGCCTTCTCTGGCGCCAACTTCAACCACCCCTTGTCTCCCAGAAGCAGGCCCCCCAGGATGCCTGCGCGCAACTGCGCCACTAGGGATTTGGCCGGGTTCAGGGGGATTCCGTGTTTGGCGCACGCAGCGACGAAATGCTGATGCTCCATGGACTCCACGATTTGCAACTTGCACAGGCGAGATTGCGCTTTCCGAACAAAGTCGAATCCGTCGAGGCACACGATGCTGACGTCACCGTCTGGGAACGCTCTGTCCCGCCGTAGTTCAGTGCGGGGGTCGGCGCCAACGATGTCGAAGACGAGCGTGCGGATGACTCGTTGCATGATGGAAACCGCAATCTTTGAACCCATGGCTACACTACGAATACCGACCCAAGCCATACGGTTGGGGTCGTCACCGAAAGCCGCGGCAGATACTTGCTTAGAGTACGTACAATATCCTAGCCATTCGTCCGGGAGGCGGAAGATATTGAAGCATCCTTTTTGGTCCTCGGCATCGTCCCAGAGCTCCTCGCCGTCTTCGAGAATGCACGCATTGAGCATAGTGGCCGTGGGCAGGGTGTGGTCGTCCCCCCGCAGCTTGCGCATGTAGGAGTTAATCGGCGTGAAGATCGATATGAAACGCAAGAGGGTGGGGCCAGGAACTGGCCCTTTGGGGTGCTTGTCAATCCCCATTGCGCCGTTGACGACTGGCCGGCCTGCGGAATCTCGGAAAACGAGCTCGTCCGGGACTTCTGCGAAGATGCCTCGGGCAGCCCCTTCTTTGACAATCTTGTACCATTCTGTGTCGGACGCCCAAACGCGCGACCTCGGGGGTTCCTCCGGCCATTGCTCCGGAGGGAGCAGGCACGATCTGGGGTCACGCACGTCGTCCAGCAGCTCTCCATCGAGGAACGACACCACGGGGACAGATGCAGCCTCGCCGCGCTCCGGCCAAGCAGGGAAAACTTTTTCGGCGACGAGCTCCCTCCGGACCGCCACGGCTTCTCCCGCGTAGTCCGTCTGGCGGGCGAAGAGGTCATGCTTGATGGCCGTTATGGACGGCAAGGGGCTTTCGCGGGACAAGAAATCCACTGCAGCTTCCCACAAGTGCTGGACGGAATGTCTTTGGGTGCTGGACAAATGGCCGGCGCTGGCGCCAGGCTGGTCGTCGGGGCCCTCTGGGGCCCCGGCCCACGCGCCCGTTCCGAAGAAGTTGAGGGACGTGACCATGCACCATACTGCCGCACGGCAGCGCGATGCGAACTTCGCGGCGTGTCCTGCTGCTACAGACAGGATCTCTGCGTGCTGCCGTGCAGCTGTGGCCGGAATCGGCAGAAGATCGCCGCGGGGCTGGGTGCCCGAGGGCTGCGTGCCCGAGGGATGCTTGGGCTGCGTGCCCGACGATTGGTGGTCTAGAGGCTGAGTGCCCGAAGGAGGGTCGAGCGAGGCGACTCGTCCGAGCTTTGTTGGTAGGTACGGCATTGAATCTTCAAACAGTTCCCACACTTCACTGTTGCCGTCGAGATGGTGGAGCTCGTCCAACAGCGTGCTCTGCCACGCAGACAACGGCGCGCCACTGCGCGCCGAGCAGGCGGTGGCGACGGCGGTTCGCACGGCCTTTTTGGCTTGGCTTTGACCGCGTCGAAGCAAAGGGGAAGGGGGAGGATCGGGTCGGGCGAAAAGGGGGGCGATAGCAAAGGGGGGGTTTGAGAATCAGCTCACGGAGCTGATTTTCCAGGCGCCTCCCGGCGCCGGGAGGCGCCCATGTATCGAGGAACGGGGCCCCCCGGCGGGGCCGAAACCAGCTGCATGCAGCAGATTACGTACCCCCCCCTTTCCCACCCACCCCCTTTCGCCCGGCCCGAGAGGAGAGAGACGGGGAGGAGGGGCAGAGTGGAGGGAGGGGGCAGTGCGCTCGACAGTAACGCCTTCAGCGCTTGTCTGAATTCCAGTTCCTTTGCATGCCGGGGCATCAGCTTGGCCCGGGGGGCCCTTGGCACGCCTTCGCCGTGGCACGGCCCAACACCCGGAATCGACGTCCAGGGCGGGCCGGGGCGGGGCCAGCGCGTGGCTCGCTACCACCACTTCCCCTTCGCTTTGGAGCTCCCCTTCGCTGAGGCCTTGCCGGAGTGCGCGGGGCCTTTCCCCTGAAAAGGGTTGCCCTTGCCAGCGTTCTGGCTCTCCTCCAGGCTGACCTCCCTGTGGCCGCTCCTTTGGCTGCCTTTGCCCTGGCCCCCTTGGGGCCGAAGCGCCAGCTGCTGCTGCGCCTTCGTCTCGCTGCGCATCATGTACTTCTCCTTCCTGCTGACGAGCGTGGCCGAGTCGTCCTTGACGAGTTCGAGGAAGCACGCGCGCTCCCACGACTGGTCCACCACCGACTGCTCGACGGCTTTCAGGTGCTGGACTATGAAATCCATTGCCTTGTCTGCTTTGTTCTGGACGAGGAGATCCAGGAGCTTGCACATGAGGGCCATGTCGTTGCGGTTGCGCTTGGACAGGTTGTACTTCACCTCGAGCACCCTGAGAAAGTAGGCCGACGCCGCTGCCGGAGGCTCCTTCTTGTGGTCGTCGCTGTCGCTGTTGGCCTCTCCCCCAGGAGTCACCCTCTGCGCCATGGTCCACATGGCGCTCCTGGACAGTCTCCCCGGGTGCTTGCGCGCGAAGCGCATAAGACGTTCCTGCGTGGACTTCTGTCGAACGCCTTCTGAGGTCGAGGCCACGTGAAAACCCATCTCGCACGAGTCGCTGCAGCTTGACTCGCTCCTGGGTTTACGCCGGCGGGGGCTGCGCGACCCCCGCGGGGCCCGCCTGCGGCGCGACCTGCTGCGGGGCGACGGGCCGCGGGGCTCCCTGCCCCGGTCGCCCGGCGAACCCCGTCGGCCCGAGGGAGCCGCGTCGGCGTCCTCCCGGGCTCGCGGTCGCCCGTCCCGCGGGGCGGGGGCCGCCTCACGGCGGCCCTGCGGCGCTCCGCCAGCGTCGTCGCGCTCGGCCGGCGAGCGCCCCCCCCGCGCCGCGCGGGCCGCGTCACGGCGCCCCCGCGGCCCCCCGCCAGCGTCGTCCTCGGCCTGCCTGCGCCCGCCCCGGGGCGCGGCGACCGCCTCACGGCGGCCGCGTGAACGGCTCGGGGGGCGCCGGTCGGCCCTCTGCTCCACCCGTTCCCCCCTGCCGCGGTCGCGGCCCTCGCCGGCCTCCAGCCGCGAGCGCAAGTCAGAGAGGCCTTCTCTGACGCTGCCGTGTCGGGTCGTAGTCCCCCCTGGCCCACAGGGCGCCGTCCGGAGCTCCAGCGCCGCCCGCGCGCACAGAGCCAGGACCAGCCGCGTCGCCGTCGGGGCGCGTTGCCGGGGAGCCGGGGCGGGGCCGCACGGCCCCGGGCCCCTCCAGGGAGCCACTGATCCTTTCAAGGATCTTCTTTTTCAGGCTTGGCTTAGAAGCCCACCCGATTTTATCTTCTTTTATGTCGTTCTGGCCGAGTGGCCGCCACGACTGGATGTGTATCTTATCCTGGTTCTGGTGACGTTTCCGGCACGCGTCCCCACTGAGGCCGCACACGTGGTAGATCTCTTCTTGAGACCTTTTGGAAAGCATCCACCATGCGTAGTAGTCATCCTCGGCGGCAAGGAACTTCCCCCTGACGTTAACGCCCCCTGTCGGAGCGCAGTCGGCCCAAATGACCTCCAGGATGTATGCCCCTTGCGCCTCACCCTTGTCGTCGTAGGCGGCCGCCTCCAGCAGCCCGCCTCTCATAACTTCCTCCAGGAGCTCCCCGTCCGCTAGGGTCCCTGCCTGGATCCATGGCCCGGCCATGCGGCCGGGAGAGACCGTTGCACCAACTCTCAATTCAGTAATCGACACGACAATTCAAAACTCAATTACCTCATGAGCCTCAAAGTGCTATGGCATGACAACTGCTGCATGCTTCACTGCTGATGCTACCTGCTCCTCCCTCCACGGCGGTCTTCGGCTAAGTGTGAATCACCGGGCCCCCTGCTCACACAAAAAGGCCCTATCATTATAACTATTCGTCCTCATCATCATCATCCTCATCCTCCTCCTCCTCTTCCTCCGCCTCCGCCTCCGCCTCCGCCTCCTCCTCCTCCTTCTCCTCCTCATCCTCCACCTCCGCCTACTCCCCTACTCCTCCTCGTCGCTCCTCCTCCTCCCTTCCCTTTCCATATAAAAATAACCCCTCCCTGTCGCACCCCGACGCTGGTCGAAAGGGCGGGCCGGGCGTTTCGCCTGAGCCTTCCTCACCTTTTATGACCGTGGAGCTCAAAATTGGCAACAGCTTCACAGATGGAGGGCGGGTCGTTTTCAAAATGTTGCTCTCGCCTTAGCGCCGCGCACATTCGTTTAGAAAAACTGTATTGGCTTCACGGATCGAGGGCGGGTGGTTTTCAAACTGTGGCTCCCGCCTTAGCGCCGCGCACATTCGTTGAACAAATTGCAAAGGCTTCACGGAATGAGGGCGGTTCCTTTTCACAATGTGGCTCTCGCCTTAGCGCCGCGAACACCCGTCCTAAACATTTGCAAGAGCTCCACGGCCTCCCATGGCCAACGTACCAGACATGGTGTGTTTGAACGACTCAAGATGATCAGGGCGCAGCAATTACGTTGATTCGACGTGCTGAAGTCCCAGGAATGGTGTTCTGGCACGACTCCGGGTTGTCAAGACGCATCAGTCTGGTTGATTCGTGGCGTTGGAGTCACGAGAATAATGTTTTGGCACGCTTCAGGGTCTTCACACGGTTGTCTACCAACGGGGCAGTTCCCGCAGAGGAAATGAATCCTTGTTGTAAGGGCCTGTGGAGACGGAGCTTGGAGGGAGGGTTGATTCCAACATCGTTGATGAGTCTTGAGTTTGAACTGGCCCTCTTCCTCCTCCTCCTCCTCCTCCTCCTCCTCCTTCTCCTCCTCCTCCTCCCCCTCCTCCTCCTCCTCCTCCTCCCCCTCCTCCACCTCCTCCTCCTCCTCCTCCTCCTCCTCTGCCATCCTCGCATTATCTTCCCTCAGCGCCCGCCTCGCTGTCGCCGCTCCACTGCACGCGTTGAGCCAGCGCCTCGTACCTCGCCCAGGAGGCGCGAGAGGGCGACCCTTACCTCTGTTCCCTTGTTTCCTGACCGACCTACTGTCCCTCACCCTTCTCCCCCTCCTCCAACATGTGTTTCTCCCTCCTCATCCTCCCCATCCTCCTCTTCGTCCACCTCCTCCTTCTCCTCCTCCTCCTCCTCCCTGTCCTCCTCCTCCTCCTCCTCCTCTCCTCCTCCTTCTCTCCTCCTCTTCTTTCCTTCTCCTTTTCCTTCTCCTTCTCCTCCTCCTCCCCTCCTCCTCCTCCTCCTCCTCCTATCCTCCTCCTCCTCCTCCTCCTACTCCTCCTACGTACCACTATCATCATCCCCAGCATCAGCATCAGCATCATCATCATCATCATCATCATCATCATCATCATCATCATCATCATCATCATCATCATCATCATCATCATCACCACCACCACCGTCATCATCATCATCATCATCATCATCATCATCGTCATCATCAGCAGCATCATCATCATCATCATCATCATCATCATCAGCAGCAGCAGCAGCAGCATCATCATCATCATCATCATCATCAGCATAATCATCCTCAGCATCAGCATCATCATCAGCAGCAGCATCAGCATCATCATCATCATCAGCAGCAGCAGCATCATCATCACAATCATCATCATGAGCAGCATCATAGTCATCATCATCTTCATCATTGTCAGCATCAGTATCATCGACATCATCATACTCCTCATCAGCAGCATCAGCATCATCCACATCATCATCAGCATCGTCATCAGCAGCATCATCAACAACAGTACCATCATCATCATCATCATCATCATCATCATCATCATCATCATCATCATCATCAGCATGCTTGTCATCATCACCATCATAATCATCATAATCATCATAATCATCATCAGCGGCATCTACAACAACATCATCGTCAGCATCAGAGTCAGCATCACTAGCATCAGCATCCGCATCAACATAATCATCAACACCATCAGCAGCAGCATCATCAGAATCAGCATCATCAGCAGCAGCGTCAGCATCATAGGCATCAGCAGCAGCATCAGCATCAGCATTATCATCATCAGCAGCATCAGCAGCATGCTCATCATCAGCAGCATCACCATCATCAGAATCAGCGTACGCATACGAATCATCATCATCAGCAGCAGCATCAGTATGAGCATCAGCCTCGTAATCAGCATCAGCATCATCAGCAGCAGCATCAACATCATCATGTTTATCAGCATCATCAGTTTTGGCATCATCAGCATCATCAGCAGCAGCATCATCATCATAATCATCATCACGGGCATAAGCATCACCATCATCATGAGCATCATGAGCAGCATGAGGATCATGATCAGCATCATCAGCAGCATCATCATCAATATCATCAGTATCATCAGCAGCAGCAGCATCACCATCATCTTCATCATCATCAGCATCATCATCATCATAATCAGCATCACCACCGCCACCACCACCACCATTACCACTACCACCATTACCAGCACCACCGCCATCATCATCACCATGATCATCATCAGTAGCATCAGCAGCTACATCATTATCATCTTCTTCATGGGCATCATACTCACCGTAATACTCATCATAATCATCATCCAGTTATCATACTACACATAATACTCATCACCATAATACTCATCATCCCATACTCATCACCATAATACTCATACTCACCATAATACTCATCATAATCATCATCATAAAACTCATCATACGTACTCACCATAATACGCACCATTATCATCATCCTCACCATCATACTCATCATAATCATCTTCAGCATCATCATCCTCTTCTCCTGCATCAACATCATCATCCGCACCAGCATCAGCAGCAGCATCAGCACCAGCATCACGAATCCGCCCTGCCGACCAACCAACCACCCATCCATCATTATCCTCGTACAAGTCCCTTCGCTTCCTCATCCTACCCCCGTCCCCCCATCCACCTCCCTCATCTCCCGCATGCATTCCATCCTCCCCCCTCCGCATCCTTGTTTCTCCTCCCCCTCGTCCTCCTCCTCCTCCTCATCATCATCAGAATCAACATCGTCATGCCTCCTCCTCCTCATCATGCCTTCTCCTCCTCTTCCTCATCCTCCTCCTCCTCACTATTCTCATCCCCATACGATGTAAAAACATTTCCACCACAAGCACACACACACACACACAACAACAACAACAACAACAACAACAACAACAACAACAACAACAACAACAACAACAACAACAACAACAACAACAACAACAACAACAATTACAACAACAACAACAACAACAACAACAACAACAACAACCACAACAACCACAACAACCACAACCACAACCACAACCACAACAGCAAGAGCAACAGCAACAGCAGCAGCAACAGCAGCAACAACAACAACAAAACACTGACGAGCAGAGAGGCTGAGGAAAGGTGTACGGAGGCGCGCAGGGACGCGGGCGCCCGGAGAACACGGGCGGACAGCGGGGGCACCAGGGGGCAGGAACGCAGGAGGATAGCGGATGTTGTCTTTCCCCTGCGATGTGGGGCTGAAAAGCCCAAACATCGGCGCAACAGCATGTTCGCGGGGGGCCTCGGGTGGGCCTGTCCACCCCAGGACCAACCGACCGTGTCCTCGATGCGGCCGAGGATCGGCATGGGCTCGGCGACCACATGAAACACGAGGACCGAGGCACGCGACGCACGCCCCCGCGGTGCCATCGAAGACCCTCGAGCAGGAAAGGAGGGCACAAAAGGGCACAGGAGACCCGGGCGCACGAAGAGCGGGACAACGACGGCGAGAGGTGATGGTAGTGGACACAGAGAGCAGCGCCGCCAGCGATGGCGGCGAGCTGGAAGCACCGCACGAACGTCTGCCCTTCCGACCGCGACGGGCATGGCAGCGATGACAGCAAAACAGGTTCCTCCTCCTCCTCCTCCTCCTCCCCCTCCTCCTCCTCCTCCTCCTCCTCCTCTTCCTCCTCGTTACCATTATCATCCTCCTCCTCCTCGTCATCATTATCCTCCTGCTCCTTTTCCTCCTCCTCCTCCTCCTCCTCCATTGCCCCTCCCTCATCATCATCAGCAGCAGCATCAGCATCAGCATCTGCATCAGCATCATCATTATCATCATCATCATCATCATCATCATCATCATCATCATCATCATCATCATCATCATCATCATCATCATCATCATCATCATCATCATAATCATCATCCGCATCTTCATCCTCATCCTCATCCTCATCCTCATCTTTCCCCCTCCTCCTTCCCCTCCTCCTCCTTCTCCTCCTCCCTCCCGTTTCCTGACAAATATCACTCCTCCGTGTCGGTGGGGCGGGCTGGGCGTGTCGCCCGAGACTCCCTCGACATTGCAGATGCTGAAGCTCGACAGTTCGAATAGCTTCAGAGATGGGAGGGCGGCCCGTCTTCAAAATATGGCTCTCGCCTCAGCGCCGCGCATGTTCACTTCAAAAGTTCACAACAGCTTCAGGGATAGAGGCGGGCCCGTCTTCGAAGTACGGCCCTCGCCTCAACGCCGCGCGCATCTGCCTTAAAAAATCGGAACAGCCTCGGGGAGGGCGGTCTTCAAAACGTGGCTCGTCTTCAAAATGTGGTTCTCGCCTTATCGCCGTGCACATTCGTTTTCAAAGTTCGCAAAAGTTTCAAGGATTCGTCTGGTTGGCTCCCCCAAAGAATGTTCTGGCACGATTTAGGATTGTCAAGACGTAACTGTCACGTAAACTCGCCGTTTTGATGTCCCAAAGACGATTTTCTGGCACGATCTAGGAGTGTCGAGACGCAACTGTCTGGTTAACCCCCAGCGTTGAATCCCAGGAATGGTGTCCTGGTACGGGTGAAAATTCTCAAACGGTTGGTTGTCTTTCTATGAGGCCCTTCCCGTTGTGAAGACAAATTCTTGAAGGGAACAATGGAAAAAATGAGCTTGGTGGGAGGGTTTACTGCAACATCATTGATGCGTCTTGGGCTTTCACTGGTCCTCCTCCATTCTTTCTCCTTGTGAAGAACACTTCCCTGTCGCACCCCGAAGCCAATCGAAAGGGCGGGCCGGGCGTTCCGCCTGGGACCTCCTCATGATTTATGACCCTGATGCTAAGACGTCGACAACAGTTTCACAAATGGAGCGCGGGTCGCTTCCAAAATGTGGCTCTCGCATTGGCACCGCTTACATTCTCTTGAAAAGTTTCACGGATGGAGAGCGAGTTTTCAAAATGGGACTCTCGCCTTTGCGCCGCGAACAAAAGTTGTCACTGATTGAAAGCGGGTGATTTTCAAAATATGGCTCTCGCCATTGCGCCACGCACACTCGTTCTGCGAATTGCAAGAGCGTCACGGATTGAACGCAACTCGTTTTCAAAAAGTGGCTCGCGCTTTAGCACCGCGCACATTGAAACAAACAAATGCAAGAGTTTCACGGGTTCCCATAGTCAACGTGCCAGAAATGGTGCTTTGGAAAGACTCCAGGTTGTGAGGGCGCAACAGCGGGAATGGTATTCTGGCACGATTCCGGATCGCCAAAACGCAACAGTCATGTTGACTCGTGGCGTTGGAGTTCCGAAAATGGTGTTTTGGCACGCTTCAGGGTCTTCAAACGGTTGTCCCCCCACGAAGCGGATCCTTCAGTGGAAATGGACCATTGTAGGGGTCTATGAAGAAGGAGCTTGGAGCGAGAGTTTATTCCGACATCGTTGGTGAGTCTTTGGTTTACACTGGTCCTCCTCCTCCTCCCCCTCCCTCTCACTCCCTCTCCTCCTCCTCCTCCTCTTCCTCCTCCTCCTCCTCCTCCTCCTCCGCCTCCTCCTCCTCATCATCCTCCTCTTCCTCCGCCTCCTCATCCGCCTCCTCCTCCTCCTCCTCGTCCTCCTCTTCCTCCTCCTCCTCCACCTCCGTCTCCACCTCCGCCTCCGCCTCCGCCTCCTCATCCTTTTCCCTCACATGTTCATCCATCCTGCAGCATGGCGGCACTGGATGCGCTGTATCCTCTGCGCGATGCTGCACTTCACAGAGTCCGACACCTGCAGCGTCTGCCAGAGTGGCGAGTTGGCACCTGCCCAAGCACTGGCAGCAAAGACAGGTCTACAAATCTCGCGCCCCCAAATCCACTCGGCCCGCGTCCTCCCCCGTCCTCTTCTCGTTCCTCCTCTTCCTGCTCCTGGTCCTCCTACTCATCATCATCATCATCATCATCATCACCACCACCACCACCACCACCACCACCAATCATCATCATCATCATCATCATCATCAGCAGCAGCAGCAGCAGCAGCAGCATCATCATCATCATCATCATCATCATCATCACCATCACCATCACCATCACCATCACCATCACCCACCATCACCATCATCATCATCATCATCATCATCATCAGATCGTCATGACCATCATCATCATCATCATCATCATCATCATCATCATCATCATCATAATCATCATCATCATCATCATCATCATCATTATCATCATCATCATTATCATCATCATCATCATCACCATCATCGTCATCATCTGCATCATCATCATCATCCTCATCCTCATCCTCATCCTCCTCATCGTCGTCATATCATCATCAGCATCACCATCACCATGACCTTCATCTTCCTCTTCCTCATCATCCTCCTCGCCCCTTCCGTAATTGGTCATTCTGGCGCGTGCTGGCTCCAGGCGCGGCGTGCCGTCGCCGCGAGCACGGTGGCGCGGGCGGGGCTACCGTGCAGCCTTCCCGGAGAGCTCCGGCCGCGGCGGCCGGGTCGCGGCCGGAGCGATCGGCCGCGCGGCGGCGGGCGCCGTCGGCGGCCGACGCCAGCCTGGCGTCGGCCAAGGCCGAGATCCACGGCGCTGCACGGCGAGCTGCGGGCGGCGCGGAGCTGCTTCGGGTCGACCGCAGGGGGTCCGCACCTTGCAGGCTCTCAGTCGCCGCCCCTGCGCCAAGCCTGGGGCGCCCAGCGGCGCGGATGGGAGGCGCCGGCGCCCGAGGCGGTGCTGCGACGCCCTGCTGCGCTGCACGCAGGTGCCCCGGGAGTAGGGGGCCACATGCGAACCCTCCCCCTCAGAAATCGTGGGGGGTAGGGGCAGGGTTCACACGTGGCCACCTACGGGAGCCCGACATTGCTGCGGCAGGCCGCGCTGCCCCGGGCCGCCTTCCGAGGAGCGCCCGTTCGGCAGAGCGCCGGGTGGAGCAGGGGGGTGCTGTTAGCTCGTCGGAGGACCGATGGCAATGTATGATGAACAGTCAATGATAATGTGGGAGCTACTGCCAGAGGCGGAAAAGGCACCCAGAACTCTACCACCCGCCCGTGCTCCCCTTTTTGGGCCTCCTGGGAGGCCCTCGCCGCCACCGCTGGATTCGCCTCGAAATCCTGGTCAGCACGCACCCGGGGAGAGGTCCCAGGAGAAGCGGGGCATCGGTACCTCCTGGCTTCCCTATATATCGGCGGTGGACAAACCTCCCTTCCGTAGACCTCCCCTTAGTGAAAACGGCCTGGGACCGAAACCGACGGGCCTGGACCCGCAAAAATGACGGCCGCGACGCCCTCTCGCGAACCGAAAACGGCCAATTCCTTAATCGACGTGTCAGGGTAGGAGGTCTGTCCACCCCCGAATATACTACGCGCCAGCGCCACTCCTCGCAGGCCAATCGCTGTCCTGCGTGTGTGGCCGAAGTGGGCTGCCACGGCCCCCGCCGCCGCCGCTGGCCGCGCCGGCGCGCTCTGTGTGGAACTCTTCCACGTCTGAGTGCCCTCCGCCTCCTCTATGAAGGGGCCCCAGGACACACAAATAAATACACACGAATAACAGGATTCCCCATATTTTCCCATATTTTCTGGGTTCTTATCTTCCCCCCACTTCCCATACTTTCCCATATTTTCCTCGGGATGGACGATTAATTGTGTCTGTGTGTGTGTTTTCCCCTCCTGACTCTAGACGAGCGCGTTCCACTACTCGCAAAGTAGCTACTCGCAAATGGCCTGGAACCCCCGCGGAGCATCTACGACAAGTTACATCAGAGCAGACATGTGTGTTTAGGAAGTTTGCGAGTAGGCATTCTGCGAGTAGTGGACCGCGCTCGGTGATCCTCCTTCCCTTCGCGGCCGCCCTGTCCAGCTTTCCCCCCCTCTCCTGCATGCCGGCCCATCCGCGCTCCGGCTGCCCCGCGTTGCCGCTCGCCGGTGCGGACCGCCTCCGCCTCGCAGCCGCCGGGAAAAGTGTTTGTAGGGGGCCACGTGCGAACCCTGCCCCTACCCCCCACGATTTCTGAGGGGGAGGGCGGGGTTCACTCCGCTCGGGAGCTCCCGAGCGGAGTGAACCCCGCCCTCCCCCTCAGAAATCGTGGGGGGTAGGGGCAGGGTTCGCACGTGGCCCCCTAGTTCGGCCGAGCTGGCCGCGGAGTGTCGTGCACGGGGCGGGGCGGGGCCCGGAGCGCAGCCGCGGCACGCTGGCGTCGGAGCCCGCGCGGCGGAGCCCGTGGGGCGCGGGAAGGGCTCGCGGGCCGCGCCTGCGGGCGTGGTCGGGCCCGCAGGGCTGTGGCTGGCGGCCCCGCCCTCTG